CATCTTTAAAACGAAAAGGGACATCGGTCCTAAAGAGCGTATTTCTTAATTTAATATACAGATTCCGCAAAAGGACGCGCTCTCGAACTTGCATGATCCATTGTAAGAAAGTCTTGCATTAATACTTAATCGATTCTACACGAGAGATAGTCTCTATTCGTAAGAATTTTTGCGATATTTACTTTTAGATACGCGTCGTTCTTGACGGTTTTGGACTCCTAGGGCGTAATATTTTTAAACGCAGTCTCGCTTGTATTCATTTATTCGAGACTAAAAACTTACACGTATATAATACACACGTCTTGTGCTGCGTTACGAGTGATTTGTAAGCAGCGTACACGCACTGTTTATTCTGATGAGATGTATCTATGCGAGAGAAAATTAGACATCACATCGCATCGTAAAACGACTTGCTGTCTACTGTGCCAAAACACCTATTATACAGCAATTATGCGTAACTTTTTTACGATTAGAAGGATTCGCCATCCTTGACCGGTTCTCCGGTCCGTCGCGTTGTTTGTATCGCGTCATTTAATTCTCTCGCAGACAGATTCTATAATACTGTACATAATCGAAGACCCAGTAATCTTTCATTCCATGATATTACTTGCTAACCGGAGTTAATTGCTTTAATTTATGTGTATATACATACAATATATATATATGCATGTGTGCGTGTGTGCACGCTCTAGCTCATACACAGGTATATATGTATATATGTGAGTGCGTTCCATTTCCACGCTCACACGCTGTAAGCATCAGTTCATCCTTATTGTCAATCAAATATTATTATAAATAAGAACAAATAATGCTTAACGCTGCCAAACGGAACGCATTCACAGACGTATATTAACAGGGTGTTTCCCAAATTAAATGTCAAAACTTCGAGAGCGTATAGGGAATTATTAAACTAACAAAAAAAGTTCTTTAGAGATTTGTTTTCGTTTTGTCTTAAAGAAAATTGCAAAACACAAAGAATTAAAAAATATTTTACTTGAAAGAAGTCCAATGATATTAAATTGGTAATTTTTAATAATTAATATCTCGTTAAGTATTGCGAGAATTGTAAAGTTGTAGAGATTATAATAGTTTAAAAAATTACGATTGTACTGGTCACAAAAAAGTAATAGGCCATTCTAGAAAGATATTTACATGCATAAACTTGCACAAATTTATAGCCTCGAAAAGTAAACATCTTATCTTGTTTTCGTTTGATGAAGATGCAACTATTGATTTATTATCGTATGTTTTATATTTTATACGTAGTTTTAATATTTTATCCAAATTATGATATTTGTGATTTTGGGCAGACCCTAGTGGGATACCCCAAAAATTTTCGGCACTTTACTAAAAAATCATTTTAATAACAATAATAAGATTTGTCAAGATCAAGGCTATGATAGAGATTCTTCTTTTCGTTTTAGTAAAAATATGAGAAATAATCTCCAATGGTCTTGATCTTGACAAATGTTATTAAGATCATGAATCTGAATAACATTATAATGTTAATATTGCGCGGTGGTACTTGAACTTTACGCTGAATCTACCAAAGAATTTTGAATTTCGCTTTAAAATTTTAAGATTATATTCTCGAAGAGTTGTATTGTCGATGTATGAAAAAAAAAATCGATTTTTTTTACTCTGTAAATCAGCGCTCCCCTTAATTTGAAATTCAACTTTTTACAAAATTTCATCGAAATCGAAGAAAGCGATTTCCGAAACTTTACCCCATCAATTGAATCATCTCATTGTTCTATGTATATAAAAAGCCTATAATACAATTATCAAAACATTAATATTTTACAAGATACTTTTCATATTTTATATCAATATGTACCAGAATTAACTATATTCGACAGTTGTTGATGTTTCATCTTTAGCTCAACTTTTATATATTATACATACATTATATGCAAAATAATTAGAGAAATATTACGTAGAAAAAAGTCATTAATTTCATTAAAATAATGATAAATTTCATGAGATTTAAAAAATTTGATTTTTTTCCGAAAATTAATTTGCACTTCTTTTAAATTATATATCTTTTGTCTGAAATTTTTATATAAAACTGAAAATAAAGAACCTAGAAAGAAAATTTTGGAAGGTGATCGATTTACGGGACATCCTGTATATATACATATATAAGGAGAATCAGATGCGTGTATGTGACGTATGTGATGTATAGCGTGTGATATATAAGATATATCGCATATTAAAATCTTCCCTGTACTATTCATTCCTGTACGCATTACACGATACATTTCTATATACATACGAATGCGAAAAAAATTACATTATACGCACGCCTAAATATATTGTGAATATTAATGTCTCGATTGCATCCAACATCGCGTCTGCTCGAATAAATCGAGGATTGAGCGATTCATCGATGTTAACATTTGCAATCTATTTTGCCGGACTTGATACAAGTGCGACATTAATCCTTTAACAAATAAAATAAAGACTCGTAACCGCATATGTAGAATTGAATGACTTTCATTTTCCATTTGGTTTAATTGTAAAATGTCTTTTCACAAATTCCAGAACATACCTATGTGTAGCTATTACAAAAATATAATTATTTACTATAACAATAAATTATAACAATATTAGATAGCACAAAGGTATCACATATTTCAAATAATATAAGATTATATAGTAATAGTAATTAATAATTAATATTAACAATTTAACAATAAAATCAAAAATTCATAATGTTTTCGACAGCAATTAATGATACAAAAGAATATTTTTATTAATAAATTTACTAATAGAAACATTCTTTTACGCTATTGATTTTACTTTATTAATTACTTTATGCTATTTATAACATAAAACTGTATAGCTGTACGTAGCGTATAATTTCTTATTTAATATAATTTTACATTTATATTAAAATATAAACGTTTACATATAATAATAAAAAAATTAAATCAGGTATACATATGTGTAGTAAAAATTAATATCAAGTTAAAATATTATTAATTAGAAATAACGATTATATAGGGGCTGTGCAAAGAGTTTCTAGAATCCTAATGCAAATAGATAAAGATGGGCTGCTATTTTAAATTTATTTATATATGTATTGAAAAAGCTTTGATTAGTTTAGAAATTATAATAAAATAGTATAATTACAATTATGTTTATTTATATAAATGTGTAAAAATAAAATTTAATCAAATTATACAAAACATATATAAAGAGTTCTATAAAATGTAAATACAAAATTGTGTACATATATAAATTTATAATTTATAAACAGAACTTTATAAACATTTTATAATTTTGTAAATGAAAAACTTTTTTGTATCTAACTATTAAAGAATTATAATTCTAATTATTGATAAAGAATCAAAATTTTAAATATTTCATTTTTATTTGATAGTACTGTATATTTGCTACAATGTAGATCATAAATGTAATTTTATCAATTGTAATTGTATGAATTAAAAAAAATTTTTTTAATCTTTTTCCACAACCATCAATTTTAAAATAAGTTTTTACATAAATTTTACACAATCAAAAAATGCCTTTGACAGATGTAAATGTTTTTAAAAGAAATGGAAATGGATTTTAAAAATTCTATTATAATTTATATAAAAAACAATTGTTTTATATTATTACGGTCAAGCTCCAGGATTCTTTACTTCGAAGGAAAGTACAAGGAGGATATCTACAGAAGGTCATAACTGAAATCTTTCTTGTGGTTAACGGTTTTAGACACGTGCCACAAGTTAAATGCAGTTGCGTAAGAATTCAGATTTTAGACATAGGTCAACGTGTTTTATATATATATATATATATATATA